ATTCACATTTTGGTTGAGTTGTTACTAAATATATTTCTTCACAACTAAGCCACCACAGAACCAATTTTTCTTGGCTTAGGTGTTTGCTGTTTTCTTAAAGTAGCCCCTGCTCTTATCAAGTCTGTGAAATTGCTTTAGCAACCATATCCAAAGATAGGATGTAGTTGTTAAAGTTGGACAACGAGAAAGATGTAAGAGGGACATTTTCTAAATTCAATAGAACTACAATAGAGCACATTTTTAAAATGAAGTTGTTCATTTAAACTAGTAGAAATAAATGTGCCTTAGCCAGTTTAGCCCCATTTCTGCCTCCCAGCGGGGTCCTTAAAATGACTGTAAGTTTTCAAATAATAAAACAGGGATATATGACAGTAGTAAAAATGATAAAAATGGCTGACATTTATTGAGTGCTTGCTACATGCCAGGTACTAATCCAATCCCATTACATATATACATGTATTTATACCAAGGTTTAATCTTGGTATAAATTATTAACAGGTATTTAACCTTTGTTAATGATATTTTAGAGCTCTTTATTAATACAAGTTTTATTTCTTTGTTTTATTTATGTTGTAGCTATTTTCCTGTTTGTGATGTGTCTTTGGCTTGGTTTTATATTTTAAAAATATATTATTTCCAAAAGTTCAAAATATTATGTAATAATCCTTCATGGTTTTACTTTTGCTTATATGCATAATAGGGCATTTGCTACCCCGATATCCACTGTTCATTTAATTCTTTTTAGCTTCTATTTTTATATTTAATCTTAATGACAACCGTATGGGAATTTAACCTCATAACATCCATTATTATCTCCATTCTACAGGTGAAGAAACTACAGCACAGGGAAGCTAAGTAACTTAAGCTCATACAGATAGTAAATGATAGAGCAAGGAAGTGAAAAAAATAATTGACACTCTTCTTAGGAGTTTTCTGGTAAGCTACAAAGTAGAAGGGGCTACTGAATCTAATGAGTAAATTAAAGCAGAGTACAATCTGATGTACTTTCTGAATATAGCAATAATATGTATTGCAGATTTGTTCACTTGAGCTTTCAGAAGACAATTCCTTTAAATTAATCTTACGTTGGCGATCTCCTTTATTCCTCCTTTTCCTTTAATCTCAGAGTTAAAAGCTTGCTTTAGCCCGATTTGTATATCTCAAATGTAATTATCTTCAACCATACTTTCCTGGAAAAGTAATATGTTTTGCCCTTTTATTATTTTTTCTTCAGGCAAAAATTAGTTCCAGTTAGTTCTGATGTTTTATAAAGAACAAAGAACTTAAGTTTCTCTTTTAAATGCACTTGGAAACAGGGTGTAATCTAAATTTGGGGAGACCTTTACATATCTCAGAGTTTATAAATAATAAGACCCTTAACTTTTTAAAGTTTTCCCTAGGACATTGCACTTATCATCTAAAGGAGTTTCTGTTTTGCAGATAACAGCTTTTGCTTAACTTTTTAAAAATCTATTTTACTCAGTTAATATTTAGAAAACTGTATTTATATAGGCTGCTTAAGACCATGAGTAGGTATACTTTGTTCTCAATAACATCTTTTGAAAAAGAAGTTACCAATATATACAGCAAGATCCAAAACTCTTATTTTGACATCTAGTAATAGAAATCTAATACAATGTCTCCACTCCGCTTCCCATTGTATTACAAAGTTCAGTGTCTTCCAGTAAAGAATGCCCTAACTTAACATTTTATGAGACATAAAGATGGTAAACGGAATCCTGCCATGTGTCCACATTCAAACTGAAGCACTCTGCTCTGCATATGTTGAGACATTTGTGTTGCGTATTATTTCAAGATTCAGGTATTGAGTGCTGAGATGTCCAAGTAAATACTTAGATGGTGGTTGAAATTGCAGTCTTTTGAAAGAAGTGAGTAAACTCTGAAAGACTTTTCATTTAAAACAATAGGCTGAAGAAATTGAAATTTTCGAAATTACTCTCATTTTTGTATGTATCATCTGTAGAGACTACCACCCCCTTTCAGCTTTGGAAGTTTAGGGCAGCAAAATAATTTTCTTCAGAATATATAAAAAATACCTAAAGGGTGAATACCTTTATATTATTTTCTTATCATACCACAATTTGCCTGGGTTCCATTTCTTTTTATTCTTGTTCATGAGATACTGATTAATAAACAGGTTTTATGTCTAGAAAATTCCCATCGCTAAGTCAAGATTAGTATTCATTGGCTTTTACACCATAAGACTAAATGTGTTAAAAAAGGAAGAGATGGAGTGTAAATTTCTGTGCTGTGTGTGAGGTGATTTTCACCTGACCAACATCATAAACTCCTCCCCTTCTACAGGTGTGGGCACTTTTGTTTTCCTCTCTCTCCTCTTTCCACTAAGGGCTAATTAGGGAAGTAGCCTTGAAGAATAAGCTTGCCGTTTATATAAAAGGAGCCACTGCACTGATACACAGCTGAAAATCCTCACTTTTGGACCGAACTCCCAGCAGGTAAACATTTATTAATTAATATAATACATTTCCAGTCATAGTTTATAATTGCAGAAAAGGATGGGAAAAATAGAGAAGAGATGAAATCCAACTTTATACAGGAAGAATACATTGCAATTAGGTTTCAAGGAAAGATATATGTTGTTTTGTTTCTTGACGTGTTTTTGAGGTTTTTTTAATCTTAAATTTTGATAGGAGGAAAATAAGCATTACGAAGTATAAATTTTTTTGCATTGTGATATGGTCACAACTAGAACAACCTCTCTGAAACAAAAATCCTAACATGAAAAATAATTACTAGCATTGGATTATAAGTGCTTAAAAAATGTATTTCCTCATTAACAAATGCCCACTATTGTACTGTAAATAGTGTATTACATTATAAAAACAGAGATCTTATGTTTTAGTGTTTATAAGACTTAAAGGTCTCCCAGGAGAGTGTCATGCTTTCATTGTTATGATAAATATTAATTAATAAAATAGTTTAGATGCTTGCTCTGTGCTTATAAACACTCAAATGCCCCAAAGAAAGTTCAGTTTCTAAAACTTACTTGAGCATAATTATTTTTCTTGACAAATACTTTCAAACAGTGAGTCTATTGGTTATAGTTTGTTTAAAGGAGTTACCAACCTGTATGTTCCAATGCCAGAACATACTGATTATGGACAGTCTGTAATTGAGTGGTAAGGTATGACACTCTGCTCTTGGAGCTTTCAGAGTTATTCATCATTATGACTTTAACATGACTGAAAAATGTGCAGAAAATATTTTCTGCATCTATGAGAATTCTGCTCTATTTTGTGGCATTGAAAAAATCTTTCTATTTAATGAAAGATCCTTAAGAAATTAATTGCTGTTTACTGAAAAGGTATTGTCAAATGTAGATTAATTGTAGTGTCCTCTCTGTATGAACCCATGGGGGAATGTCTCTGATTTTAGCTTGTCACCCTCAGTAATTTGTGAGTTGCAAGAGTACAGTCTAGAAGGGTAGGATGAAGCCTGATTAAGGAGAGGTTTTACTATTAAGAAGCTAGAGTACTGGACTTTAGAGATGGCATAAGTGAAAAAACAAGCAAAGGCTAGTGGAAAGGGTATAAGGATAATTTTCTGGGCAAAGTGAATTATGTAACTAATCATATTTGTTTCTTTTTATGTTAGAAGATTTAGTGTCAAAAGTGTCCTCTCGCCTGCTGCAAGTACAATTGATTCTCATTGTGGTAATTATTTTCAATACAATGATACCAGACACTGACTTAGTTGATACTGAAACATTGTTCCTAACAGAAATACAGTTAGGTTCCTGTCAGCCCCTGGTCACAGTATTTTCATCAGCAGATCAATAATAACCTTGTTTTATGTGTGTTTTTGTTGAAAGATACATTCATACATATCGATTCAGGAACATTATAACTCATGTCCAAACGAAACTTACCTAACAGTTGTATTTTCTCCATTATTCACATCACAGCCTTTTTGCACTTAGAAACACCTATATAGCACCCAAGTGCTATGCTTTTGGTCCAATTTAAACAGCAAAATTGACAAAAAGCACAGAAATTTGAAAAACTTGGCACTAAATAGACCATGAAAAGGATGATTGTTTACAGTATAAGAACAAACAAGAAGGCAGAGGGATACCCTGTTCAACCTTAGCTAGAAACATGAGTTAGGAAACCCAGTTCTTTTTGCTGCTCTCTATACATGACTACAAATGACTGCAGAAGAGCCACAAGTATTGATTTGGGAATTACAAATAAATTTTAGTGAGCAGGAAAATTTTCAAATGTGGAATCCATGATTAAGGGGGATCATCTTTATACATAGGATTATGTTCCACGCTCCATACTTTGGATATTAACCTCACTTTTGACTCCATATTACTTTGTCCCTTTATTTCTCCCTTGCCTGAATTTTAAGTCAAGCTTAATTTTTCTTGATATATTTTATGTGTTTTCATAAATGGCTTTAGATCCTTCAAGGAACAAACCAGGTAATAAAGCAGCAATTATCAACAAATATTCTAATTCCTACTCTTTTCATTGGCTACTTTGCTAAGTATTCAGGCATAAAAAGATCTCTAGACATGCCGGGCGCGGTGGCTCAAGCTTGTAATCCCAGCACTTTGGGAGGCCGAGGCGGGTGGATCACGAGGTCAAGAGATCGAGACCATCCTGGTCAACATGGTGAAACCCCGTCTCTACTACAAATACAAAAATTCAGCTGGGCATGGTGGCGTGTGCCTGTAATCCCAGCTACTCAGGAGGCTGAGGCAGGAGAATTGCCTGAACCCAGGAGGCGGAGGTTGTGGTGAGCCGAGATCGCGCCATTGCACTCCAGCCTGGGTAACAAGAGC